TTTTAATATGGTATATGAGTGAGACTGACTAACAAAAACAATGGGGGCCCCCTAGCCGGCAATTCGAACATGATAACAAGTTTAGATAAAATAACTTAGCAATCTAAAAATTGTAGCTGACATGGGCTAATTGACTGACTATCAGTGTGAATGAATGCTGAATCCTGAAACATTTCTCACAACTTTGACAGCTTTGTCATTGAAATCAGGAAAAAAATTGTAAGGTAAGAAACTATTGATAAGAGATAAGTCTGTGAAATGAGTAGACAGTCAGCCAAAAAACAAGGCAAGGTAGCTATGAAGACCCTAAATAAGATCTGGTGCAACCAATTACCTTCAGAAGTCACATAATTAGTTAAATAAAGTCCACCTGTGTGCAATCTAAGTGTCACATGATCTGTGACATGATCTCAGTATATATACACCTGTTCTGAAAGGCCCCAGTCTGCAACACCACTAAGCAAGGGGCACCACCAATCAAGCGGCACCATGAAGACCAAGGAGCTCTCCAAACAGGTCAGGGACAAAGTTGTGGAGAAGTACAGATCAGGGTTGGGTTATAAAAAAATATCAGAAACTTTGAACATCCCACGGAGCACCATTAAATCCATTATTAAAAAATTGAAAGAATATGGCACCACAACAAAGCTGCCAAGAGAGGGCCACCCACCAAAACTCACGGACCAGGTAAGGAGGGAATTAATCAGAGAGGCAACAAAGACACCAAAGATAACCCTGAAGGAGCTACAAAGCTCCACAGCGGAGATTGGAGTATCTGTCCATAGGACCACTTTCAGCCGTACACTCCACAGAGCTGGGCTTTACGGAAGAGTGGCCAGAAAAAAGCCATTGCTTAAAGAAAAAAATAAGCAAACACGTTTGGTGTTCGCCAAAATGCATGTGGGAGACTCCCCAAACATATGGAAGAAGGTATTCTGGTCAGATGAGACTAAAATTGAGCTTTTTGGCCATCAAGGGAAACACTATGTCTGGCACAAACCCAACACCTCTCATCACCCCGAGAACACCATCCCCACAGTGAAGCATGGTGGTGGCAGCATCATGCTGTGGGAATGTTTTTCATCAGCAGGGACTGGGAAACTGGTCAGAATTGAAGGAATGATGGATGGCGCTAAATACAGAGAAATTCTTGAGGGAAACCTGTTTCAGTCTTCCAGAGATTTGAGACTGGGACGGAGGTTCACCTTCCAGCAGGACAATGACCCTAAGCATACTGCTAAAGCAACACTTGAGTGGTTTAAGGGGAAACATTTAAATGTCTTGGAATGGCCTAGTCAAAGCCCAGACCTCAATCCAATTGAGAATCTGTGGTATGACTTAAAGATTGCTGTACACCAGCGGAACCCATCCAACTTGAAGGAGCTGGAGCGGTTTTGCCTTGAAGAATGGGCAAAAATCCCAGTGGCTAGATGTGCCAAGCTTATAGAGACATACCCCAAGAGACTTGCAGCTGTAATTGCTGCAAAAGGTGACTCTACAAAGTATTGACTTTGGGGGGTGAATAGTTATGCATGCTCAAGTTTTCTGTTTTGATGTCTTATTTCTTGTTTGTTTCACAATAAAAAGATTTTGCATCTTCAAAGTCTTAGGCATGTTGTGTAAATCAAATGATACAAACTCCCAAAAAATCTATTTTAATTCCAGGTTGAAAGGCAACAAAATAGGAAAAATGCCAAGGGGGTTGAATACTTTTGCAAGCCACTGTAACTGTCAATGATGTATTATTGTTGTGTACTGTTAGGCCTACACAATATATAATGTATATTAGGTCTATGTTTTTTAAATACTCTCTCTCTCCCTCTCCGTCTGTCTGTAGGACATTGGTGGACTGTCAGTTCTCAGACATTTCTGATGAGGACAATACTGTAAACATCATACCAGTGCACCAGGCAGTCAATAGAAGATGTCCCCATGGTGTCAATGACAGACAGGGGATGGAGAGACTGGACAACATGCTGCTGAGGCTGCAGAAAAGGCTGAGGGATAATCACATCCTCACCCTCACAGCCTAGTTGAGCCTAGGTGAATTTCAATTTACTGGAGGACTACTCTAGAAATTGTTGGCTTTGTTACAGGAAAGATAGAAAGAAGGATATGACGTGGTTTGTTTCTGTTGCACCAGAATGCAAGGGAAAGCAGTTATGCATCATAGGGGACCAAAATGGTGTTAGGTTGTGGTTCTCCAGTGAGTGAGTCATTGCAGACATAGGCACTAGTAAAGGGACTCCTAGTCTTCACCCAGTAGCTCAGATTGTCACTGGTCATTTCGCCTCCCTTGCATGCTTTTCATTTGTTCCCATTCTGACTCTTCGTGTATATAGGCCTTGTTGAATGTATGTACAGAAGAAATTGAAGTTGCAAAAGCCAATTATTGTTATTTGTCACGCCCTGACATAGAGTTCGCTAGTTGGTTTGGTCAGGGTGTGAGTATTCTATGTAATGTGTAATTCTATGTGGAGATCTAGTATGTTTAGATCTATGTTGGCCGGTGTGGTTACCAATCAGAGGCAGCTGTCGATCGTTGTCTCTGATTGGGGATCATACTTAGGCAACCATTTTGCCTACATTAGTTGTGGGATCTTGTCTCTTGTTTGGCTTGTGTGTAGCAATAGTGAGCTTCACGTTACGTTGCGTTTGTTGTTTTTGTCGAGTGTTTATTCGTTCTAATAAACATACGCATTCCACGCTGCACCTTGGTCTGACCCGTCTCTCAACGAATGTGACATTATTATATGCCTTATTCTTATATTATTTTGTAATTCCAATTTTCGATGTACTGTAACTTGCACTTTGTTTTCAGGTTTGAATGAGACAATGTATTCCCCTCAATAAAGTTATTTTGATAAAGTTCTTGATGGATTAATATTATATTACTTGTGTATGTCTTTCCTTATTTAAGACTCATTGCCATTTGTAATATGTTTTGGTGCAGATATGTGAACCTCTTATTATGTGGATTATAATTAATGGGGAAACTAAAATCTGAAATTTCAAAGTCGAAATTACAAACTTCAGAATGCTTTTTAAAACCTAAAATACACTACAAGTTTTACATTTCCTGTATTGTAGGAAGGTTCTCCTGCAACAGGGTTATCAAATTTAAGATCCTACATCTGTAATGGTATTGTTACATTGACACATTGTGACACAAGTTTTGCATTTTAATAGCTCTTAACTACAGTACTGGACACAAACAAGCTGAACAATGCTGGAGACGATTTGTTCCTATAATGTTGGGTTTCCTTCTCTCTTCAGAAACATGTTGACTCCACATGCTAGTGGGAAATAGGAAACTGAGAACTGGGAAGTGGTAAGTCGAACATGATTGTGTTCAAGTGCTTTTGAATTTGGAACAAGTCTTCAAATTATAAGATTTTAGCTAGCTTGAAAAGCTTGCTAACATTGCTAATAATAAAGTTAGCTAGCTTGCTTAACATTTACAATATGGTCAGACTAGCTACATTATCCATATTGATAAGGTTGTAATTGTCCAACACAGATTTGTTGTCATCTTTTCGATGAAAAGGTAAAAGGTCAGTTGTGAAACGTCACAACTCGGAAACTCGGGTAACAACATTTTCTCTGAGTTTCCCACTTGTAATTCCGACTTGGAGGGTCATTCAATTGAAATTTCCCACTGGGAACTAGGAGCTCCTGATAACTCTGATAGCACTTGAACGCGGCAACACTCATTACTCCTACTCACAATATGAAATGCATCCATCTAATTACAGCCATCATAGCTGATACTGCCTCCTATTGGCTTTCTGAATGCCCAGGCCTACAACCTGTTATCAGTCCTCATTAGATGTCAACATTATGTCATAGTCCCTCATTGGTTGCCTTAACTTACAAAGGATCACAACGTACAAAGGTTTTCCTTGTCTATCAACATGTAATAGCAGAACACTTGAAAATAAATTATGTTTCCTGGAAATATTTTAGTTAATATCCCTGTAAAATTAAAAACTTTAAAATGGTAAACTGAGGATTAAGTAGTATGAGGTCATACAGAGGATGAATAGTATCTACAGCAAAACAAACATTTATTATATCTTACCTCAATAAATGTTTGTTTTACAAGGAACTTAGATGTATAGGCACTCACAGCCTGTGGATCTTTGATACTGTATTACAGGCCAATAACTATACTCACTTCAGATTTTAAAATGTTGGTTGTAATAGTTGTAAAAGTGCTTTCACATATGGTTCATTTTTGTGATATAATATGTGGTGAAATGTGTACATTGACTTAGAACACATTTTACAATTTGACGGAAGTTACTGAAAACTGTGTTCAGCAAACGCTGTTTGGGTTTTCCTTTTTCTCATGATAAATTAGTGTGGTTAACCATTGGAATCTTATGGTAAAGCCAAGTTAAATGACAGGGTGCGTATGCAATAGCAATTAATTAGCCCAATGACACACTAAATAAAGCAAGTATAACTTGCAAAGCACATTGCCTGCTTAAAATGCGTACTATTACATTTTCATTCTACTGTACCTTTCGCTGTAGAGGTTGTCCCACAACAAAGGTTGGCTAATTCTGCGACATGAAAGCACATTCGCTCACACGAGTGCCAGGAGACCCTCAAACACACACACACATGCACATAGACACACACACACACACTCACACTCATCCCTACGTTGACCGGCTAATACTGATTGATGTGGATGATTGTAAGAAGTTCTAGAGAGGATCAGACTTACACATTCAGATCAGTCAATGGGATTTAAGGCTATGCTCTCTCTCCCTTCATCCTTCTCTCCTCCTCCACTCCTCCCTCCCTCCCTCCCTACTCTAATCGCTGTGTTGTGGTGTAAGATCAAGCTTGGTGGTGGTTTCTCCTCCGTCACAGGAAACTCTCTCTCTTTCCCCCTCCTGCTCTCTCTCCCTTGCTCTCTTCCTTCACTGTATATAAGTGTGGTGGGTGGATTGTGTGTCAGACAGAGTAAAGGAATGCCAGAGTGTGGGACAGATGGAGAAGGGCACAATCCCTGTGCCCCCCCTGGATTGGCTGATAGTGATGGTCGCCATGCAGAATCTACAGGTGAGAGATCTTTCTGATTTGTCATATTCTGACATGGCCCTAACACACCAAACAAACCATGTAATATAAAAGGAACAACAAATAACTTGTGTTTTTAAACTCTAAGCATTTACTAAACAGCTTTCCAACTTAGGTCAAAAGTTGTTGTAGAGGCACAACAGCAGCGTGACTTGGATCACACCATTCTAGATAACACAGGTATTTTTGAATACACTCTACAGTGGCAGGGAGAGGTGGCCTTAAGGATGCCATTGTAGCATGGGAAACGTTCTGTTTTCGGGCCAGTCCAGGGGGTGTGTCTGGGGGGACACTACTACACACTACAAGTCAGTCACTGTGTCTTAGACAGCTCTCGTTCCTACAACATCTTTTAATGTCTGGCATCTTTGTTCATGTTCATACTTAATGCCGAACATAAAAGAGACATTTCAAAGTTCAAACGGGAAGGTAAGAGATGAGTGTGAGGTTGGTGAGACAAGCATGTTTAACAGTGGAATTAAATTGTCATTTTATTTAGGGTTGCATTTACATTTTTACATTTTAGTCATTTAGCAGACGCTCTTATCCAGAGCGACTTACATGAGCAATTAGGGTTAAGTGCCTTGCTTAAGGGCACATCGACAGATTTTTCACCTAGTCAGCTCAGGGATTAGAACCAGTGACCTTTCGGTTACTGGCACAACGCTCTTACCCACTAAGCTACCTGCCGCCCCAGATAGGGTTACATATTTTTTCATCTTCTCTTCACACATTTAAAACCAAACAGTAAGAATGCCTCCTATTGGGTCAAAAATAAGAGTATTAACAACGGCCTCTGAGGGGAGAGATAGTTAACTAAATACCTGAGGGGATTTTGGCTCGTGGATGAAGCGCTTCTCTGGGATAATAGTGACGAGGGATGAGTTATGCCCCCACACAAGCAGAGAGATGGGCCAGACACGCTGCAGGACTGACCGATTGTGTTGACAATGTTTGGGCTGCTTCCTGTAGGGAACAGTTCACCGAGGGGTAAAGGTACTGGCACAACCTGAGGTGTTGCGTTAATCTCTGTGTCTGTCTGCCACTCTCTCTCTCATCCTGTGCTCTGTCTTACAATTACATTTAGCTATCTCTCTCTCTCTCTCTCTCTCTCTCTCTCTTCCCCCCTCTCTCTCTCTCTCTCTCTCTCTCTCTCTCTCTCTCTCTCTCTCTCTCTCTCTTCCTCCCCTCTCTCTCTCTCTCTCTCTCTCTCTCTCTCTCTCTCTCTCTCTCGCACCCTCTTTATCTCTCTCTCTATATGTCTTTGTTCTTGCTCTCAATTTTTGTTTGTCTGTCTGTTACATTTCCTTTTATGTTTCCTTTCTCTGTCCTTGGGAAAACAAAATTGCTGTGGTCAGCTGATCTAATCACCAAAAGTACTGTCTTTATGGTTTCTCTGAGGTCATCCAGCTATTGTAGCCATCCAGCAGGGAACAATCCACCTCAAACCAATAAAATACAGTATATTAGCTCAACATTTCTCAATCCCCCCCTCTCAGTACCCCTGGTTATGCTGGGTGCTGCTCCAACCTATTTCGAAACTGAAATGGAATAAACATCTCTAGTCACGATATCTCCTACAAATCACTTGAAGTTTACATTTGAGTTTACAGTGAGAGTTCGTGATCCAATAGATGTTCCAACACTCGTGCTTTCATATATAAACATTGAGTAAGGTATGCAGGGATGATTAAACAATGATTGTGAATCGTAGATGGTATATAAAAGATATGAAATGAGCTTGTTCCAGCTTGTTAGTGTCAGCTTTTTTGAATGCAGAAAACGAAGCTCTTTCGGTCTCACACAAAGACAAGAGTATGGTAGAAAACCAGCTTAGTGCATAACTGGACAGTATCAGTAACTGGCTGTCCGATAACAAATTGTCTCTTCATTTGGAGAAAATGGAGTCATTATTATTTGGTTCTAAGATTAGGCTAGGTAGATGTGCCATGGAAACCATATGTTTGATGTACTTGATGCCATTCCACCATTAGGCTAAGAGTTGCACTGGGCAGACCATGTTTTTATATACGGCAGTGGTATATAAAACTCCCTACTGCGATAAAAACTGTTTCTGCCAGTCAGAGGTTCAAACACTCCTGCAGGGCTTGGTTAATGATGTAAACCACCCTGCGCTATTAAGTGACTTGCTAAGTGTGTATACAGTGGGGTCCGAAAGACATGCTAACCTCCCCTGTTATTGTAATGGTGAGAGGTTAGCATGTCTTGGGGGTATGATCTTTGACCCTCTGTAACGTTCTCACTCATAATTAATCCACATTAATGTAGAAGTGTTTAGAAACATATTCTATTCTTATAATAAAAGTGACTCTAAAATGACATAATACATTATTTACCATGAATTTCTATTGGGCACAAAATAATCTAAAACACAACCAAAACTAACTGCAAATGCATCCAACAAGTTTGTACAGTCACAAGCTTGATGTAGTCATTACATGCTAGGAATATGGCAGCAAATACTACTTTATTTATAAGAATCAATCATTTAGACCCCTACCTTTTTGAGAGAAAAACAAATATTACTTGTCAAACAAAATCTCTTTCTCTGAGCAACAGTATAAGTATAAAATAATATCATTTGTTTGACAATACAATATAGCTCAGTATTTGAATGATTTATTGCATACAGTCGTTATTGCTCATCTTTATCAAGGGTGTCAATAATTTCGACCCCACTATATCTGTAAATATTTGGACATTGTTGCCCATGTCACTTGTTTTTGCTGCCCTTGCCTACAAAGAGGACCACAATGGAAGCAAGCATTTTGACTTTACTGTGTTTATATCCTTGACACTATTTGGTATATGTATCTTTTGCCGGGTGTAACATTTTTATGTATTTTAAATTGTCCAAAAAAATCTAAAAAAGTATTGGCTAGAACAGAGACGTATTAGTTTTAAAAGTTGTTTATGTTGGTCAGAAGGGTTCTATGTAAACCACAGTCATCAACAAACTCTTATCTTAATTGCTACCAGATAGGGCTATGGTTTCCGGGCAGTGAAGATAAGTCCGCCAAACTTACAGGCTCCTTCCGATACACAAAATCTGTGGTTGCTTCCTCTTGGAAAAGGCATGTTTATGATGTTATAACATTCAAGAACATCTACAAAAGGCATTGAATTGCACTTATTCAAATATTATTCATTCTCTCACCAAAATGTCTAAACTGGTTGCACTTTGTGTTAGTGTTAGTCAATATTGATGATCATTAAGACAGGTAATGTACAATTAAACAACTCATATTTATTATACCCATTCCTATTATAGTCTAAAACAAACTGTACTGAAAACAGTTTGTACCAACTGTATGTAATATACAATAACGTTAACCCATGGGGCTTACTGAAAAGGAATAGACTGATTTCACAGGATGTGGTTAATCTCTCCCGCTCTTGGTTATACACTAGACGCCAGAGCCTCAGAAAAAAGGGTCTTTCAGCTTTCAGCCAGGCATTTTCCACTCAATAACATAAACACCAAGGGATTCCTCTGTTGTCCTTCATCCCCCCTATTCCCCGCAATGCATACACACACACACACACACACACACACACACACACACACACACACACACACACACACACACACACACTCACTCACTCACTCACTCACACAGTTCAACCTTCTGATTCTGGAACTAATAAAGTTGAGATACATTGTTATTATCACCATGGTTACTGGTGATTAGTTCCATAAGTGTGGTGTCTGTCTAAAGGAGTCTGTGTGTCTAGAAGCATGTCCACAGGAGGCTGCTGAGGGGAGGATGGCTCATAATAATGGCTGGAATGGAGCTAATGGAATGGCATCAAACGCATGGAAATCATATCTTTGATGTATTTGATGCCATTCCACCTATTCCGCTCCAGCCATTACCACATGCACGCCCTCCCCAATCAAGGTGCCACCAACCTCCTGTGATGTACACACCCCCACCCCACCCCACCCCACACACACCACCAATCCCTGAGCAGACTGAATCAGAAGTCTACATTGATCCCCATCCCCCTGCAAGATTTCAAACATCATTCAGAAAAAGTGGTTTCCCTCATCAGCTGAAATGGAAAGCTCCTTTTAGTGCCAGTCATTATATACTGCTGAATTCCAACTCTAGCAAAGGCTGTCTTTAAAATTCGAAAGCAGCTCTTTTTCACAAAATGTTTACCGTAAAATAAAAACTACAGGGAAGTATTGGCAAAGAAAAACACTTGTGAGGTCATAAACAAATGACAGTGTAAAAGCAGTTTGCATCACTCGCTGAAATCCTGACACCATACATTAATGTCGATGGGGGGATTTAAATGTCAATGTAAATTAGGTGTACCCATACATCAAGGATCTGACCATCACCCAATCAACCCCATGACCAGGGATCATCAACTAGATTCAGCCGCGGGCCGATTTCTTCTTGAGCGGATGGTCGGGGGGCCGGAACATAATTACAAATAATTTGTAGACTGAGAATTGACCGCAAGAAGCCCAAACAGATATCATATTTGACTAAAACATAATAACTTAAAACCTTGCTTACATTTGTATATGATCACGTGTCTCTCTATTATGCGTGAAAATACATTTACAGTTTAGTCATTCAGCAGACGCTCTTATTCAGAGCGATTGACAGGAGCATAGCGCTTGATGGTTTTTGCGACTGCACTTGAAGAAAAAACTTTCAAAGTTCTAGAAATTTTCAGGATTGACTGACCTTCATGTCTTAAAGTAATGATGGTCTGTCGTTACTCGTTGCTTATTTGAGCTGTTCTTGCCATAATATGGACTTGGTCTTTTACCAAATAGGGCTATCTTCTGTATACCCCCTTACCTTGTCACAACACAACTGATTGGCTCAAACGCATTAAGAAGGAAAGACATTCTACAAATTAACTTTTAAGAAGGCACACCTGTTAATTGAAATGCATTTCAGGTGACTACCTCGTGAAGCTGGTTTAGAGAATGCCAAGAGTGTGCAAAGCTGTTATCAAGGCAAAGGGTGGCTATTTGAAGAATCTCAAATATAAAATAGATTTTGATTTGTTTAACACTTTTTTGGTTACTACATGATTCCAAATGTGTTATTTCATAGTTTTGATGTCTTCACTATTATTCTACAATCTAAAAAATAGTAAAAATAAAGAAAAACCCTTGAATGAATAGGTGTGGCCAAACTTTTGACTGGTACTGTATCCATCACAGTAACAATAACTAAGATGTACTGTAGGCCTCCTGTAGCTCAGTTGGTAGAGCATGGCGCTTGCAACGCCAGGGTTGTGGGTTCAATTCCCACGGGGGCCAGTATGAAAAATGTAATTTGATGAGGTATGGCTTAAGATCTGTAATAAGATACTATACCCACTTATTACTTTTTATATTAAGGAATCTAACTACAAATTCATTTTCAAGTTTTACTTTTTTAAGTATGTTCCCAGACACCTCACCAAATTGCCCGAAATGTAGGACCAAAAAAGGAACCTTTCTGCACGTATTTTGGCAACGAAATAAGCTAATTGGATTTCTGCTGTTTTATTCATACATTCGCTGAGATAATTTTAGATATAGAATTGGTATAATCTCCAAACATTTACCTCCTTAATCAAATGCCAAATATTAAGCTTGACTCAGACAAGACAAGGTTGCTGATAACTATTTCATACTTTGAAAAGAAATATATTGTTATGTGTTGGAAAAATTAAAACCCACACACTTTGCAATTGTGGGTAAAACAAGTTGCAGATTTTTTGGCATTAAACAAATGTATAATGAACTTACAGAATCGCAGTCCCACATTCCTGAAAGTTTGGTCTCCTCTACAGTCCTTAATTGCAAAAAGCTTTTAAAAGATGTCCGGGCATCCTGAGACCCAGCAAATATACAAAAAAATACAAAAAATATATTATAATAATTGTACTAGTTGATTCGAAGCTCTGAAAATATAACTGTATTATGAAATTGTTTCTGCTGCTATTTGTCTCCAAGTTATAATGCTAACTGTACATTAACTGCATTTTCTGCTAATAATTGTACCTGCTGCTATTTGGTATTGGATTGTGTTTTATTTATATATAATGAATGTGATATTTTTATAATAAAAACAAAAGACAAAAAAAAGAATAATACAAAAAAGAAGGGGACTTTAGTTTGTTCTTTGGATTTTTGGATGAAACAATGTTTTCAACCCAAGACCAATGTAAGAGGGTTGACCTAGTGGGGGGGCTGGGGTGTTCAGCAGGTGACATTAGTACTGCTTGTGGCTTGGGTGTTGACTTATCCATCTATAAGCGGGAGGTAAGAAACTGTACACCGTAACACATTGTTTTATATGACTTATGAAGCATGATATGAAGTTATCATGTAATGTTACAATTAATTCCATTAACTCTCTATTTTGCCTTTTTAAGATACTGTATGTGTTACATGTCACGTTCGTTTACAGACGGGACGGACCAAGGCGCAGCGTGATATGCGTACATGTTTATTATAATGAATAAACAACTGACAAAACAATAAACAAACGAAACGTGAAGTCCACGGTAGAACACAAAACATACCTACACGGAACAAGATCCCACAACCCACTAGTGCCAATAGGCTGCCTAAGTATGGTCCCCAATCAGAGACAACGAGCGACAGCTGCCTCTGATTGGGAACCACACCGGCCAACATAGATCTAGAAATACTAGATTCAAAACATAGAACAAAACACAGCAAGGAAAATACACACCCTGACTCAACATACAAGCGTCCTCTGAGTCAGGGCGTGACATTACTGGTACTTTATTCTGGGCTTGAGACTGACTCAAACAGGTAAATCAGCAGGTACAATGCTGGGAGCAGTTGTCGTTAAACACTGTTAAATGCCTCTTCCTAAAGCGATGAAGCTTTAGGAAAAGGCATTTGGCGGCTGGGCAGGCATGATTATGGCTATGTGGGCTTCCCTCTGGCCAGGGTACAGCTAGATGTGGTGAGGACATGAGCAATCTGCCCAACCCATGGTTTAGTCAGATCCCTGGGTGTCAACTGACATCCTGCCTATGACCTCGGATCTGTAAGCGTCTTGGCAACATGCAGGCCAACATTCTGATTTATTTATGGTGACTACACTAGGAATTCTGTATTTCCAGTTTGTGTATGAAACATGTCTATTGCTAATAAATGAAATAGAAACAGAAACTCACTCACTCACTTAATCACTCATCTTGCTTACTGACTCGTAGCAAACTTAACAGCAGCAAACTTCAAGCACAGGTGCAAACTCTTCACCTCTGTGGAAACATCCTGCACTGTCGTAAAGGCTATATTGTAATCTGATTAACATTGCTGTAAAGTATTTCATATTCTTTAAGCCGATTAACATTGTTGTGAAACACTACATGATAAAACAACTCCTAACCTAAAATGGCCTCTATGATCTGTAATGTCCTCTGTCTTCCTTTCTCACTCACTCTGCCCCTCTCTCTCTCTCTTCCTCACCCTCCTGCTCTTTCTCTCTTCGTCAACACTCTATATCATTCACTCCCTCTCTCCCTCCCTTTCTCTCTCTTTTCTTCTTCTGTCTGAATCATTCACTCTCTTACTCTCTCTCGCTCTTCTTCCTTTTTCTCTCCAAGATGATTGATGGCTCCTCCAGTTGAATCAAGCCCCAGGATGCTCATGTTGCCCGTCAGCGGTGGCCAACATCACCACGTCGTGCCTGTGGCCTGCACCCTCACCTGCTCCTGGCTCCTGCTACTTTTTCACGCCGCCTTCGGCCAGAAGCCCGCCAAGCTGCCCCTGCTGGGCCGCAAGCCCTTCATTGCTGCCTGGAACGCACCGCTGGACCTGTGCACTGTCAAGTACAATGTCCAGGCCAACCTGGAGCACCTCTTCCACATCAGTGGCAGTCCGCGGGTCGTCCGCACTGGCCAGAATGTCACCATTTTCTATGCCAATCGGCTGGGCCTCTACCCTTTTTACACGGACTATGGCATCCCCATCAACGGAGGCCTCCCCCAGAACTGCAGCCTGGAGGCCCACCTCCTCAAGACGTACAAGGACATCAACCATTTTATCCCCTCTGAGGATTTTGCCGGACTGGCAGTCATCGACTGGGAGTATTGGCGGCCCCAGTGGAACCGCAACTGGCACAAGAAGGACATCTACCGACGCCAGTCCCGGGAGCTGATCGCACAGGCCTATGTCAACGTGACGCCATCAGAAATCGAGGAGCTGGCGCGAAAACGCTTTGAGAAGAGCGCCCGGGCATTCATGCAGAGGACGGTCCAGCTAGGGACGCGCCTTCGCCCCAACGGACTCTGGGGCTTCTACCTCTACCCAGATTGCCACAACTACAACCTGCATGAGCACAACTACACAGGCTCCTGCCCCCTGCTGGAGAGCCTGCGTAATGACGAGCTGCTCTGGTTGTGGAATAGCAGCACAGCACTGTTCCCCTCAGTGGCTATCAGGAAGAGTCAAACAGACAGTGTCAGCAACCTCCATTTCTCCCAGTTCAGGGTGCTAGAGTCTCTGAGGATAGCTGGGCTTACCTCGCACGACTTTGAGCTGCCCACATTCGTGTACACACGCCTAGGGTACAGGGATGAGGCTATGGCCTTCCTCACCACGGTAAGACTGCTATACTTAGTAACCCAAAGGTCTAAAATCAGGTGACCAGTTGGTTATCAATCTGGTCCTGGAGAGCTACAGGATGTGCTGTTTTTTTATCCACACCATCATTAACACATCTGATTCAACAAATTGACTAATCATCAAGGCCACCAAGTGTATTGCTGTTGGGCAAAAACAAAACATGATACATGATCCAAATGGGGCTGTAATTACTCCATACAACAAACCCGTGTTTTATATACAGGATCAGTTTAGACATAATTGATTTCTTAACTATTTATTTAAATTATCATGCCATTCTCTGTTCCTCTCAGCAGTCAACACTATTTAGTGTAATGTCTAATCAGTTGTGTGCAGGCAATCCTGCCTCTCTTGAGGAGCCATTAGCACCATCTTGTGGCTCCATAAAGAAGTTCAGAATGTGGTGTAATTATCCTGTGTGCGTGTGTGTGTGTATTGCAGACAGACTTGATCCACACCATTGGCGAGAGTGCTGCTTTGGGTGCGGCTGGTTTTGTGATCTGGGGAGACCTCAACCTCACTTCATCCAAAGTGAGTCTCATTATATAACTTTACTGTATATGATCTATCACCAGCTGGAATGCGATTTTAACCAATCAGTTTCCAGGATTAGGCCCACCCGTTGAATAATATATAATTACTGTTACAGTTTGACTATCCAAGTGTTACACAAGCTAGAATAGAGTAGAGCTAAAGAGACTGGCGATAAGGCAATTAACAGTTCTTACAAAGGAAAATCCTTAATTAAAGCTATGAAAATAAAGTGCTCCCTAGGGGCAGCATAGTTGAACATCTGCTGTACATCTATTTAATTTTGTTTTGACTTATTTTAGCTGTCAACACCTCCAAGGCCTGTGTACATCTGCCATTCAAAATGAGGCTTTGAGAAGAAATGTCATGCATTCCTAAATGTATTCCAAACATTCTTCTCTTGGAGCTTGAGTTGCTGTAGAAAGTATTTCAAAAATCAGGAAAAAAGGCATACTGCTATAAAGATAAAGAGGGAGACAATAGTTGGTTGACAATAGCTGACAACCCACAGAGAATAGTTCTAACAGTAGGGTAGCGTTCGCTAAAGTAAATATTTCAACAGATTATTGTGAATTGCACAATGCCATCAGTCGTTTGACTTTATCTTAGTTATTCTTTCTTTCTTGCTAACCCCCCTACCCCCCCCCCCCCCCCCCCCCCCCCCCACCCCCCCATCTCCAGCACAACTGCACAAAGGTGAAGTCCTTCCTAAACCTCCGCCTGGGTCAGTACATCACCAATGTGACGCGGGCCGCAGAGGTCTGCAGTGACTTCCTGTGCCAGAGCAACGGCCGTTGTGTCCGTAGGGACCTCCACTCCCCGTACTACCTCCACCTGAGCAGAGACAGCTACCACATTCAGCCCTCGGGGGACGGGGACTTTGTGGTCACAGGCTGGCACTCGCAGCATGAGCTCCAACTACTGGCCAAGAGGTTCCACTGTCACTGCTATGAGGGACACGCCGGGGACAAGTGTGATAGCCTGAACAAGGTGGTGGAAGAAGAGGAGGAAGAGGAGGGGGGAGAGGTGGAGGAGGGGGGAGAGGCGGAGGACAGGGAGGAGGAGCAGAGGGAAAGTGCCGCTCCACAAACTGGGAACACACTTGGCTTGATGGTGTTGCTCCTCCTATTGAACTTCTCCTAGCTATTAATTGTCACCTCACCGCTATCACTATTGGTATCATTGTAAGCACTGACAATGAAAAGGTATCTGGGAGTCTTGCTCCAATCTCCCCTAATACTGTGCAGTTTCATATAGCAATAAGCGTGGTATTTACACAACTCAAATGTGTTCATTTTTTTATGGTTGCCTATCATTGAATGAGAATTAATTTGAATAGATTATCTAATTTGACTAATAAAGGAACAATAAAGTAGAACAATTCTAAAACACTGCGCAATTTGAAAAAGCCTTTATCAAATTGGTGTATCTTTATCGAAAATGTAGTATGGGCCACATGGCCTTCAACATGGAACACTGTGTAATAGGCAACATATAAGTATGTTGTGCAACATAGGTGCTATGGAGGTTGCCAGTTGTTTCTTTCCCATACCTTTTTGCAAACAGGTTGCCAGTTGTTTCTTTCCCACACCTTTTTGCAAACATTGGTGTTCAAGCAAAGTTATATTTAGACTGAACATCTCATTGATTCACAGTTCAAAAAGAACCCAAAACCTTACTTATTACTCTGACATTGAAGCTTGAAGCTCAGATAGGCAGTGGGTAACACTAACCAGCAATTGAAAAGACAAGGTATGTAATCTCAACACCCTTTGCCTTTCCTCCTTAGTACTTTGTCAATACTAATCAGGACACTTAGAAGCAAAAAATTTTGCAACACCAAAGTGACTGTCTTCTACCCAGGTTACTCTTGAAATGTGTGAAACTGTGTAAAATTATTTATGTACAATTTTCATACTATACTGGAATATAAAACCATTATATGTCACTGGTTACATATGGACTATATGTTATTTGAATGGAAAGAGCAGAAATGTTTCAAATCTTGCCAGCTTTGTTCATGTTGTTGTTTACCAATGCACGATGGCACTGTACAATGTACTACAAATGTTCTGTCTAAAGGCAAGTCTGATAACTGATCTATCAGCAATATAAGGCAGATTTATTTTGGATGCTTTACTAACTTTTTGTTGATGCGTAATGTGTATGAATAAGTGGTTCATATAAGTAGTTCATACTTCATTAACATTTCATATATGTATCATTATGTCTACTTTTGAGCATTGAGCATTGACTCAAAGTGGATGATTTAATCTCAGAATCACATCAGTCTTGATTGACAGGCAAAGGAGTTGGCACATACAGTATATTAAGTGTATCAAGTGAAGTGATGATGGCTCACAGTAATTTACTCATCTCAGCCATAGTAGCCATGGTGTGCTTTTGTGTAAACCGCACGTACCTTTTTTTGTTCAAAGATTCCAAGATAGTAAAACAAATATACAAGGACTATGCAACATGTGAAAAGTGTTGCTTGAATGTAAATGCACTGCAAAAAATAAAATAAAAATGGTACACCTTATTTTAAGGGACACATATTAGACACTAATTTGTAGTTTGTAAGTGTGTATATAAGTAGCTAATAAGGTCTTTATTGCATCTTATTAGTCATATATTAGGCCTTTATTAAGTGTTTTCTTTATCGAACATTATAAGTCATGTGTAACTGGCCAATCCTTACCCCTAGAGTCTATTGACGTACCGGTGCGTCAATCTAAGTACCATAATAAAAAAATCCCCATAAAAATCTGTTAGTTTAAGCTACAGAAATATCTGTTGCATGGGCTGTTTCTCAATCCACCACATCCGCTTATGGCGGCCTTCCGCAACTGCGGTGGAAGGTGGCAAAGATACAGCGATGTTTGTCATCCCAAAAATCTCTCTATAGAAAGATGAGACTCTCACGAACACAAAAGTGGCCTCCATTTTGCTCCACGACCCCCACAATATGTGTAAAAAAATATAATATATATATATATATATATATACACACACTACAAGTCAAAAGTTTGGACACACCTACTCATTCAAGGGTTTTTCTTTATTTTTACTATTTTTAACATTGTAGAATAATAGAGAAGACAACAAAACTATGAAACAACACATACAGTGAGGGAAAAAAGTATTTGATCCCCTGCTGATTTTGTACGTTTGCCCACTGACAAAGACATGATCAGTCTATAATTTTAATGGTAGGTTTATTTGAACAGTGAGAGACAGAATAACAACAAAATAATCCAGAAAAACGCATGTCAAAAATGTTATAAATTGATTTGCATTTTAATGAGGGAAATAAGTATTTGACCCCTCTGCAAAACATGACTTAGTACTTGGTAGGCAAAACCCTTGTTGGCAATCACAGAGGTCAGACGTTTCTTATAGTTGGCCACCAGGTTTGCACACATCTCAGGAGGGATTTTGTCCCACTCCTCTTTGCAGATCTTCTCCAAGTCATTAAGGTTTCGAGGCTGACATTTGGCAACTCGAACTTTCAGCTCCCTCCACAGATTTTCTATGGGATTAAGGTCTGGAGACTGGCTAGGCCACTCCAGGACCTTAATGTGCTTCTTCTTGAGCCACTCTTTTGTTGCCTTGGCCGTGTGTTTTGGGTCATTGTCATGCTGGAATACCCATCCACGACCCATTTTCAATGCCCTGGCTGAGGGAAGGAGGTTCTCACCCAAGATTTGATGGTACATGGCCCCGTCCATCATCCCTTTGATGTGGTGAAGTTGTCCTGTCCCCTTAGCAGAAAAGCACCCCCAAAGCATAATGTTTCCACCTCCATGTTTGACGGTGGGGATGGTGTTCTTACGGTCATAGGCAGCATTCCTCCTCCTCCAAACACGGCGAATTGAGTTGATGCCAAAGAGCTCCATTTTGGTCTCATCTGACCACAACACTTTCACCCAGTTCTCCTCTGAATCATTCATATGTTCATTGGCAAACTTCAGACGGGCCTGTATATGTGCTTTCTTGGGCAGGGGGACCTTGCGGGCGCTGCAGGATTTCAGACCTTCACGGCGTAGTGTGTTACCAATTGTTTTCTTGGTGACTATGGTCCCAGCTGCTTTGAGATCATTGACAAGATCTTCCCGTGTAGTTCTGGGCTGATTCCTCACCGCATTGCAACTCCACAAGGTGAGATCTTGCATGAAGCCCCAGGCCGAGGGAGATTTACAGTTATTTTGTGTTTCTTCCATTTGCGAATAATCGCACCAACTGTTGTCACCTTCTTACCAAGCTGCTTGGCGATGGTCTTGTAGCCCATTCCTGCCTTGTGTAGGTCTACAATCTTGTCCCTGACATCCTTGGAGAGACATCCTTGGCCATGGTGGAGAGTTTGGAATCTGATTGATTGATTGCTTCTGTGGACAGGTGTCTTTTATACAGGTAACAAGCTGAGATTAGGAGCACTAGAGTGTGCTCCTAATCTCAGCTCGTTACCTGTATAAAAGACACCTGGGAGCCAGAAATCTTTCTAATTGAGAGGGGGTCAAATACTTATTTCCCTCATTAAAATGCAAATCAATTTATAAAATTTTTGACATGCGTTTTTTCTGGATTTCTTTGTTGTTATTCTGTCTCTCACTGTTCAAATAAACCTACCATTAAAATTATAGACTGATCATTTCTTTGTCAGTGGGCAAACATACAAAATCAGCAGGGGATCAAATACTTTTTTCCCTCACTGTATGGAATCATCTAGTAACCAAAAAAGTGTTAAACAAATCAAAATCTATTTGAGATTTGAGATTCTTCAAATAGCCACCCTTTGCATCGATGACAGCTATGCACACTCTTGGCATTCTCTCAACCAGCTTCACCTGGAATGCTTTTCCAACAGTCTTGAACACTAACCAAAAATCTCAAGTTTGGACTCCAGACCAAAGGACAAGTTTCCACCATTCTAATGTCCATTGGCCGGGTCGGGCTGGCGACGTGCACCACTGGCTTGGTGCGAGGGGCAGGAACAGTCCGGGCCGGACTGGCGACGCGCACCACTGGCTTGGTGCGAGGTGTGCCAGCTCAACGCTCCTGGTCTCCAATACACCTCCTCGGTCCCGCGTATCCTGCGCCAGTTCTACGAGCTGTATCGCCAGTGCGCTTGCACAGCCCAGTGCGTCCTGTGCCAGCGCCCCCCACGTGTAGTGCAAAAATGGGCAGCCAGCCAGGACGGGTTGTGCCAGCTCTCCACTCCAGACCTCCAGTCCGCCTTCGCAGTATGGTCCGGCCCGTTCCTGCTCCTTGCACCAGGCCAGTGGTGCGCGTCACCAGCCCGGTCCGGCCTGTTCCTGTTCCTCGCACCAAGCCAGTGGTGCGCGTCGCCAGCCCGACCCGGCCTGTTCCTGCCCCTCGCACCAAGCCAGTGGTGCACGTCGCCAGCCCGGCCCGGCCTGTTCCTGCCCATCGCACCAAGTCAGTGGTGTGCGTCGCCAGCCCGGTCTGGCCTGTTCCTGCCCCTCGCTCCAAGACAGTGGTGCGCGTCGCCAGCCCGGCCCGGCCTGTTCCTGTACCTCGCACCAGGCCAGTGGTGCGCGTCGCCAGTCCGGTACGGCCTGTTCCTGTCCCTCGCACCAGCCCAGTGGTGCGCGTCGCCAGTCCGGTACGGCCCGTTCCTGCTCCCTGCACCAAGCCAGTGGTGCGCGTCGCCAGCCCGGTCCGGCCTGTTTCTGCTCCTCACACCAAGCCAGTGGTGCGTGTGTCCAGTCCGGCATGGCCCGTGCCTGTTCCACCGGTGCCCAGTTCAGCTCCGGTCAGCTGCTCCACTCCGGAGCCAGAGCAGTCCGCTCCACCGGTGCCTGATCCAGCTCCGGTCAGCTGCTCCACTCCGGAGCCAGAGCAGTCCGCTCCACCGGGGTCCAGTCCAGCTCCGGTCAGTGGATCCGCTCCGGAGCCAGAGCAGTCTGCTCCACCGGTGCCCAGTTCAGCTCCGGTCAGCTGCTCCACTCCGGAGCCAGAGCAATATGCTCCACCGGGGTCCAGTCCAGCTCCGGTCAGCGGCTCCACTCCGGAGCCAGAGCAGTCCGCTCCACCGGTGCCTGATCCAGCTCCGGTCAGCGGCTTCACTCCGGAGCCAGAGCAGTTCGCTCCACCGTCGTCGGGTCCAGCACCAGTCAGCTGTTCCAGTCCAGACCCAGACGTCAGCCCCTCTCCAGGTTCGGGGTCTCCCACTCCAGGGTCCAGACAGGGCTTGGTACTTCGTGGGAGGAAGGAGAGGGCAAGCAGCGCGCCGAGGTCCAGACCAGACCAGGGGCGCAACAGGGAGGCGGAGAATCGGTGGTTGTCACGCCCGGAGCCGGATCCGCCTCTGAGGCGGAATGCCCACCCGGCCCCTACCCTGTTATGTTTATGTTGTGCGGTCGGAGTCCGCACCTTTGGGGGGGGGGGGGGGGGGGGGGGGGTACTGTCACGCCCTGACTCAGGGGACGCTTAAATGTTGAGTCAGGGTGTGTATGTTCTATGTTGTGTATCTCTATGTTGGCCGGTGTGGTTCCCAATCAGAGGCAGCTGTAGCTCGTTGTCTCTGATTGGGGACAATACTTAGGCAGCCTATTGGCACTAGTGGGTTGTGGGATCTTGTTCCAGTTAAGGTATGTTGTGTTGTGCTGCCTTGGACTTCATGTTTCGTTTGTTGTTTTGTCGATGTGTTTAATAGTCAAATAAACATGTATGCATATCACGCCCTGACTCAGGGGACGCTTAAATGTTGAGTCAGGGTGTGTATGTTCTATGTTGTGTATCTCTATGTTGGCCGGTGTGGTTCCCAATCAGAGGCAGCTGTAGCTCGTTGTCTCTGATTGGGGACAATACTTAGGCAGCCTATTGGCACTAGTGGGTTGTGGGATCTTGTTCCAGTTAAGGTATGTTGTGTTGTGCTGCCTTGGACTTCATGTTTCGTTTGTTGTTTTGTCGATGTGTTTAATAGTCAAATAAACATGTATGCATATCACGCTGCGCCTTGGTTCGACCAGTCCTTCACCGAACGTGACAACATCCTAGATCTGAATGAATGAAATAATCTTATTAAATACTTTTTTCTTTACATAGTTGAATGTGCTGACAACAAAATCACACAAAAATTATCAATGGAAATCAAATTTATCAACCCATGGAGGACTGGATTTGGAGTCACCCTCAAAATTAAAGTGGAAAACCACACTACAGGCTGATCCAACATTGATTTAATGTCCTTAAAACAAGTCAAAATGAGTGTCAGTAGTGTGTGTTGCCTCCACGTGCCTGCATGACCTCCCTACAACGCCTGGGCATGCTCCTGATGAGGTGGCGGATGGTCTCCTGAGGGATCTCCTCCCAGACCTGGACTAAAGCATCCGCCAACTCCTGGACAGTCTGTGGTGCAACGTGGCGTTGGTGGATGGAGCGAGACATGATGTCCCAGATGTGCTCAATTGGATTCAGGTCTGGGGAACGGGCGGGCCAGTCCATGGCATCAATGCCTTCCTCTTGCAGGAACTGCTGACACACTCCAGCCACATGAGGTCTAGCATTGTCTTGCATTAGGAGGAACCCAGGGCCAACCGCACCAGCATATCGTCTCACAAGGGGTCTGAGGATCTCATTTCGGTACCTAATGGCAGTCAGGCTACCTCTGGCGAGCACATGGAGGGCTGTGCAGCCCCCCAAAGAAATGCCACCCCAAACCATGACTGATCCACTGCCAAACCGGTCATGCTGGAGGATGTTGCAGGCAGCACAACGTTCTCCACGGCGTCTCCAGACTCAATCTTGATGTTCTCTGGCAAATGCCAAACGTCCTGCACGGTGATGGGCTGTAAGCACAACCCCCACCTGTGGACGTCGGGCCCTCATACCACCCTCATGGAGTCTGTTTCTGACCATTTGAGCAGACACATGCACATTTGTGGCCTGCTGGAGGTCATTTTGCAGGGCTCTGGCAGTGCTCATCCTGCTCCTCCTTGCACAAAGGCGGAGGTAGCAGTCCTGCTGCTGGGTTGTTGCCCTCCTACGGCCTCCTCCACGTCTCCTGATGTACTGGCCTGTCTCCTGGTAGCGCCTCCATGCTCTGGACACTACGCTGACAGACACAGCAAACCTTCTTGCCACAGCTCGCATTGATGTGCCATCCTGGATGAGCTGCACTACCTGAGCCACTTGTGTGGGTTGTAGACTCCGTCTCATGCTACCACTAGAGTGAAAGCACCGCCAGCATTCAAAAGTGACCAAAACATCAGCCAGGAAGCATAGGAACTGAGAAGTGGTCTGTGGTCACCACCTGCAAAACCAGTCCTTTATTGGGGGTGTCTTGCTAATTGCCTATAATTTCCACCTGTTGTCTATTCCATTTGCACAACAGCATGTGAAATTTATTGTCAATCAGTGTTGCTTCCTAAGTGGACAGTTTGATTTCACAGAAGTGTGATTGACTTGGAGTTACATTGTGTTGTTTAAGTGTTCCCTTTATTTTTTTGAGCAGTGTATATGTCAATGTCTTATAGAATTTAAGGTAGCACTTTAGTATAGGGAACACATGTAAAGGTACTACGCTTGTATTAGTTCTACATTGAGACAGCATACTATGAGTCTGTTTATTGTGTAACTTGCTCTTTATTAAATACTAATATGTCTTTATTATGACTAACAATGAGGTTATTAAGGATTGGCAATTAACACATTACTTATAATGTTTGAATAAGAAAAAACACAAATGAATGCCTTATATATGGCTAATAAGACATAATAAAGGCCTTATTAGCTACTTGTATACTCACTTATACACTACAAATGTGTAGGTAATATGTGCATCTTAAAATAAAGTGTTACCAAAAATGTCAATCATTTTGCCCACATTAATTTGTCTCTCCATTTTCCTCCTAATTGAAGTAACTTAATAAAATTATAGTAAATGGATGCTGATATCAAGAACCATGGGTGACTATTTTCCAATTGACAATGTATCAATGACGATTCTCCAAGATTCTCTGCCCTTAGTAGCCCTTAAATCAGCCCTTAGTAGCCCTTAACCTCTACGGCATCGGTGTCCCGTATACGGGACGGTTGAGCTAACGTGCGCTAATGTGATTAGCATGACTGTTGTAAGTAACAGCAAACTTTCCAGGACATAGACATGTCATATATGGGCAGAAAGCTTACATTCTTGTTAATCTAACTGCACTGTCCAATTTACAGTAGCTACTACAGTGAAAAAATATCATGCTATTGTTTGAGGAGAGTGTACAACAACAAAAAACGTATCACGGCAACTGGTTTGATACATTCACCTCTGAAGGTAAATAATGTACTTACATTCAGTAATCTTGCTCTGATTTGTCATCCTAAGGGTGCCAGAGATTAAATGTAGCATAGTTTTGTTTGATAAAATCAATTTTTATATTCAAATGTAGGAGCTGGGTTCTATAGTTTGAACCCCTGCTGTCTCTGGCTCCACACCCACCCCGCCCAGCCATCTAGATGTGTGAAAGTTAGTGTATAAGCTAATGATCCATCATATATGACATTCCTAGGAGTGTGTAAACGTACATTTTGATTTACCATATCATTTTTGTATGTTCTCTATAGTTATGTACTTGAAAATGTATCAATTGACCAATTCGGCACTTTTGGGCAGACTTGATACAAAATAGTCCAGTATTGCACTGGATCAATCTGAAACTTTGCACACACACTCTGCCATCTAGTAGCCAGAATCTAAATTGCGCCTAAACTGCAATATTATATGGAGCAAAACAAGAAAATAGAAAACACATGTTTTTTGTTTGTATTATCTTTTACCAGATCTAATGTGTTATATTCTCTTACATTAATTTCACATTTCCACAAACTTCAAAGTGTTTCCTTTCAAATGGTATCAAGAATATGCATATCCTTGCTACAGGTCCTGAGCTACAGGCAGTTAGATTTGGGTATGTCATTTCAGGCGACAATTGAAAAAAAGGGTCCGATCCTTAAGAGGTTTTAAATTACCCTTAAAGTGATCCTTAACGTTTGGATTCTATTGTATGATTATTTGGCCACATTCTCTCTCTTACACGCATGCAATGTAACAGTGTATATTAGGCTGATAACTGCAGACAAACACTGATATCCTCCGCACACTCCAGAGGTCAGGTGCCTTGAAGGGCATCTGTGTTTTCCTGAGTACAGAAAAGAGATAGGAGACCAGATAACAGTAAAAACAATAGTTTCACAGAAATGTACAGGACCTGTTGTACTGGTTGACATAAGTGTGGTAGCTGCTTGATGATAGCACTTAACTGTTCTCTCGCCCCAAAGCCTGCAACCTGATTCGGAGCCTGACGTGTCCGCAACTTGCTCCAATCCAGAGGACAAAAAAATTAAAATGACATTCTTAATGTGCCCGTTTTTATCTATTAGGTCATGGAAAATGTTTGATTTGCAGAACGTAACAGTATAAATGCATAGGGTATATTATCCAATCGGCCCAGCTTTGGAACTTAGGCCTATAATACTAGGTTTTTGTTCTCCCATTTCATATGTCAAGAATTCTGTCTAGACCAGAGGTTTCTCAAAACGTTGAGCAATAGCTTTACAATAACAGGTGATACATAATCTCCTGTAATTTTCAGATACCAGAGACAAGTATACCTTGACAGCCAGACTGAAATTCTGCAAATATGAACCGTTGCATGTCCTTGCTCTGACCCGTCTCTCTCTAATCAGTCTATTAAATAGTCAATAACAGTCATTCATGGAACCACGGAAAAAGCTCTTGAATGATAAATCACAATGTACAACAAACAGGACCATGTTTAACGAGCACTTGACCCAAAATGACATCAAATGGAATAGATTACCCCCATGGTATAAAAATATGTGTTCTCTACTCTGCCTGTGCACTCCAAATGTTTATTACGCACAGGTAAGTACTAGTAGGCTGTCTTTTGGCTTCTTTGTAATATCCGTAATATTAGTCTGTCATCCGACTTTGTAATACTTGAACATTGTCATCAACAGCTTATGTACTAAAAGTTCTAATAACTGCCACCACTGGCTCTAGTACATTTTCTCTCTGCACTGGCTGTAAGGTTTAAAGATAGCTGAAAAGACACATAATACAGTACCTCACTGTAGCTATACAGAGATTGTTGGGAAGTCATATTCCTCCACTGCCAGTGGCCACATACATGTATTTATTTATTTTTTTCACAGAGTAGTCACGATGGACCAGTTCACCCAGATGAAAAGGTGCACGCCACAGCTACTCCCCACCCTTGCCCTCTCCCTTCTGGTGTGTCTTAGTTTCGTCTCCCCCCTACCTACAACGGAGCCCCCACTGTTTGACGGTTATCCCTTTGTGGGTATATGGAATGCCCCGACCCCTGCATGCAAGAGGCTGGAGATCCCACTGGACACCTGGTCCTTCAAGGCAGTGACCACGCCTGCTGCTGTTCCTGGTCAGTTCCTCACCCTGTTCTACTCTGACCGCCTGGGCCTGTACCCTTACGTTGACCCCAACAACCATCGCCAGTTCAATGGCGGCATCCCCCAAAAGGGCAACCTGACGGCCCACCTTATTAAGGCCTATGGTGACATCAATCATTATATCCCCTCTTACACAACCCCGGGTCTGGCTGTCATTGACTGGGAAGAATGGCGCCCCCTGTGGGACAGAAACTGGGGGTCCAAGGATATTTACCGTCAACTGTCCATCGCCTACGCTCGAGAGAAGGACCCCTCTTTGTCCCCATCACAAGCAACCAATGAGGCCAAGAAGCAGTTTCAGACTGCAGCCCGCAAGTACATGGAGGGAACAATGATGCTAGGTACCAGCCAGCGGCCCATCCAGCAATGGGGGTTCTATCTGTTCCCCGACTGCTACAACTATGGCTGGGAGAAGCCAGACTACACAGGGCAGTGCTCCGACAAGACCAAGAGCCAGAACGACGAGCTTCTGTGGCTTTGGGAGTCCAGCACGGCTCTATACCCTTCAATCTACCTGCCTGCATCGCTGAACAACAGCTCTAAGGTGGCGCTCTTCGTCCGAAACCTCGTTCAGGAGGCAGTGAGGGTGGCAGCTCTGCCCAAACGCCCCTACACTGTGCCCATCTATGTGTACTCACGCCCACTCCGTGACCAAAAGTTTCTCAGTACGGTGAGGGCATTAGATTTCAATTACTTAATAGTTAAAATTGCTATGCAATTTCAATAGACTTTTATGTTATCTTTAGCTTTGTGCTATTAAAACGTGTGGTCACTAAATGCCGATAACTCACAAGAACATTATTAAGACATGCAGTGCACACATTATTACAAATGTATTTTGACTTCAGGTGAGTTTCATGCAGGAGTTTCTGTCATACTGTATGTCTGTCATTCCCAGGAGGATCTGATCAGAAGTATTGGAGAAAGTGCAGCATTGGGGGCCTCCGGGTCAGTGCTCTGGGGGGCCAGTGCCGACTATACTGACAAGGTAATCTCACATACACCTCTCCACATTTCTTATTTTATGTCCCATGATAACATATTAAGTACACTTATTGAATTTGTACTATGTTTTGTTGTATGTATCATTTCACACAAGAAGTTCCCTCACAGGAAAATGAAATTATTTAAATGTAATTGAATACTTCAATCTAAAAAGCTTTTTTGAGTGGTGGTGCAGTACCCTTACAGAAAAATCACATGATTTCATGTGACATTTACACATTTTGCACATGTAAAATCATATGTTTTTGGAACACCTCACATGTGATGATCTTGGCAGGGCGGCAGGCAGCCTGGCGGTTAGAGCAGGGCTCGCCATCCCTGTTCATGGAGAGCTACCCTCCTGTAGGTTTTCTCTCCAACCCCAGTTATAACTAATCTGATTCAGTTTATCAACCAGCTAATTATTAGAATCAGTTGCGCTAGATTAGGGTTGGAGGGAAAACCTACAGGATGGTAGCTCTCCAGGAACAGGATTGAAGATCCCTGGGTTAGAGTGTTGGGCCAGTAACCGAAAGGTTGCTGGTTCAAATACCTGAGCTGACAAGGTGAAAAATCTGTTGATTTGTAACGTAAGCTCGCGCTTCACGTCGGCTGGTCTTTCTCATTCAAAGTTCGAACCATTCTAAACGTGCAGTCGCCACTCCACGCTTCCTGGTCTAAATGTAAATTTAGTCCCCAAGGCTTTTATCCTCGGGGAAAAAGGGGCGTTCCATCACGCCGACCCAATGTCTGTGCTCACTTGGGCGTGGTTACTGACTGGCAAAAGTTTCTATGAAAAACAATTCTCATTTAGAAGGCTAAAATTACATTGCTATCTTACAAACGTATTCTCATACTTAATCATATATTTTAAACAACATTTAGATGCAAACCTGATCAATGAAATGTGTACACTTTCACTTTTTATTTAGTAATACCATCCTTAATAACATCACAAAACAATAAACAATATAACATGATTATTCTTTAGATCCCCACCGACCATACCAAACATTTGGATCTCAACATTTTTTACATTTTACTCATTTAGCAGACGCTCTTATCCAGAGCGACTTACAGTTAGTGAATACATTTTTTATTTTATTTTATTTTTTATACTGGCCCCCCGTGGGAATCGAACCCACAACCCTGGCGTTGCAAATGCCATGCTCTACCAACTGAGCTACATCCCTGCCGGCCATTCCCTCCCCTACCCTGGACAACGCTGGGCCAATTGTGCGCCGCCCATGAGTCTCCCGGTCGCGGCCGGCTGCGACAGAGCCTGGATTCAAACCAGGATCTCTAGTGGCACAGTTAGCACTGCGATGCAGTGCCTTAGACCACTGCGCCACTCAGGATCAACAACAATGTTCCAATGTCCAATCTTTTGATGTTAGAGTTTTTAGGCAGCAAGAGTCTCTCTGTAACAAAGAGATTTCTTTCTTCCCATAATGGAGACCAAAAGGAGTCATTTTCTGCAAACTATTTATGTTAAGTCAAAAAACATGTTAAGTCAACCCCTCCTGTGGGGGAGAAGGGGGGAGGTGTCTGGCTATCTGTCAGCCATTTGCCAAGCTGATCTGGCACCTTTGATCCTCACCAAGGAGAGCAGTATCCAAATTCATAGGATGTAGTGATCACAATATAGTAGCCATATCTAGGAAAACCAAAGTTCCAAAGGCTGGGCCTAATATAGTGTATAAGAGGTCATACAATAAGTTTTGTAGTGATTCTTATGTTGATGATGTAAAGAATATTTGCTGGTCTGTGGTGTGCAATGAGGAGCAACCAGACGCTGCACTTGAGACATTCATGAAATTGCTTATTCCAGTTACTAATAAGCATATACCCATTAAGAAAATGGCTGTAATAACTGTTAACTCCCCTTGGATTGATGAGAAATGTAAAAATTGTATGGTTGAATGGGATGAGGCAAAAGGTATGGCAAATAAGTCTGGCAGCGCAACCGATTGGCAAACGTACTGCATATTGAGAAATCATGTGACTAAACTAAATCAAAATAAATGATACTATGAAAGAATTATTGTTGTCAATCAACAATGACAAGCCACTGGGGTCTGAGAACCTTGATGGAAAATTACTGAAGTTATTTTTGCCATATCTTCAATTTAAGCCTACTGGAAAGTGTGTGCCCTCAGGCCTGGAGGGAAGCAAAAGTCATTCCACTCCCCAAGAAGAGTAAAGCCCCCTTTACTGGCTCAAATAGCCGACCAATCAGCCTGTTACCAACCCTTAGTAAACTTTTTGAAAAAATTGTGTTTGACCAGATACAATGCTATTTTACAGTAAACAAATTGACAACAGACTTTCAGCATGCTTATAGGTTTATGTAGGGAAGGACATTCAACAAGCATTTACAAAAAAGACTGATGATTGGCTGAGAGAAATTGATGATTTTATTTGGTACGAATCATTCACTTAACCCTAAACCTCTACTACAGTCTATTCGGAAAGTATTGAGACCCCTTGACTTTTTCCACATTTTGTTACATTACAGCCTTATTCTAAAATGGATGAAATAAAAACTTTTCCTCATCAATCTAAACACAACACCCCATAATGACAAAGCAAAAACTGTATTTTAGAAATGTTTGCAAATTCATTAAAAATAAAAAACAGAAATACCTTATTTACATAAGTATTCAGACCCTTTGCTATGAGACTCGAACTTGAGCTCAGGTGCATCCTGTTTCCATTGATCATCCTTGAGATGTTTCTACAACTGATTGGAGTCCACCTGTAGTAAATTCAATTGATTGGACATTGTTTGGAAAGGCAGACACCTGTCTATATAAGGTCCCACAGTTGACAGTGCATGTCAGAGCAAAAACCAAGCCATGAGGTCAAAGGAATTGTCCGTAGAGCTCCGAGACAGGATTGTGTCGAGGCACAGATCTGGGGAAGGGTACCAAAAAATGTCTGCAGCATTGAAGGTCCCCAAGAAGACAGTGGCTTCCATCATTCTTAAATGGAAGCAGTTTGGAACCACCAAGACTCTTCCTAGAGCTGGCCACCCGACCAATCTGAGCAATCGAGGGAGAAAGGCCTTTTTCAAGGAGGTGACCAAGAACCCAATGGTCACTCTGACAGAGCTCCAGAGTTCCTCTGTGGAGATGGGAGAACCTTCCAGAAGGACAACCATCTCTGCAGCACTCCACCAATCAGGCCTTGATGGTAGAGTGGCCAGACAGAAGCCACTCCTCAGGAAAAGGCACATGACAGCCCACTTGGAGTTTGCCAAAAGACTCACAGACCATGAAAACAAGATTCTCTGGTCTGATGAAACCATTATGGGGTATTGTGTGTATATTGAACAATTTAATCAATTTTAGAATAAGGCTATAACGTAACAAAATGTGGAAAAAGTCGAGGGGTGTGAATACTTTCCGAATGCACTGTAAATCTTGTAATGAATAATGTGGAAATTGAGCAAGATGAGGTGACTAAACTGCTTGGAGTAACCCTGGATTGTACACTGTCATGGTCAGAACATATTGATACAACAGTAGCTAATATGGTAGCTTAGTGGTTAAGAACATTGTGCCAATAACCAAAAGGTTGCTGTTTCTAATCCCCGAGCCGACTAGGTGAAGAATCTGTCGATGTGCCCTAGAGCAAGGCACTTAACGCTAATTGCTCCTGTAAATTGCTCTGGATAAGAGCATCTGATAAATGACTAAAATTTAAGTTTGTCCATTATAAAGTGCTGCTCTGCCTTTTTAACAAGGCAGGTCCTAATACGGTTCAGTATTGTGGTCAGATGCCACAAAGAGGGCTTAGGAAAATTACAATTGGCTCAGAACAGGGCAGCACGGCTGGCCCTTAAAAGTACACTGGGAGCTAATATTAATGACATGCATGTCAATCTCCCATGGCTCAAAGTGGAAGAGAGATTAACTTCATAACTACTTTTTTTTGTATGAAGTATTGACAAGCTGAATGTACCGAGCTGTCTGTTTAACCTCTTAAGGATCGGAAAGTTTTTTTCAATTTCGCCTAACATGACATACCCAAATCTAACTGCCTGAAGCTCAGGACCCGAAGCAAGGATAAGCATATTCTTGATTCCATTTCAAAAGGAAACACTTTGAAATTTGTGTATATGTGAAATTAATGTAGGAGAATATAACACATTAGATCTGGTAAAAGATAATACAAACAGAAAATCATGTGTTTTCTATTTTTTTTAGGTTACATCATCTTTGAAATACAAGAAAAAGGCCACAATATAATATAGCAGTTTAGACGCAATTTAGATTTTGGCCACTAGATGGCAGCAGTGTGTGTGCAAAGTTTCAGATTGATCCAGTGAAGCATTTTTTTTTGTATCAAGTCTGCCCAAAAGTGCCGAATTGATCAATTGATTCATTTTCAAGTACATAACTATAGAGAACATACAAAAATGGTATGGTAATACAAAAGGTACATTTACACACTCCCAGGAATGTCATACATGATGGTCATTAGCTTATACACTAACGTTCACACATCTAGATAGCCGGGCGGGGTGGGTGTGGAGCCAGAGACAGCAGTGGTTCAAACTGTAGAACCCAGTTCCTACATTTTAATATAAAAATTGATTTTATCAAACAGAACTATGCTACATTTTATCCCTGGGACCCTTAGGATGACAAATCAAAGCAAGATTACTGAACGTAAGTACATTATTTATCTTCAGAGGTGAATGTAGCAAACCAGTTGCCGTGATACGTTTATTTTTTTTGTTGTGCACTCTCCTCAAACAATAACATGGTATTTTTTCACTGTAGTAGCTACTGTAAATTGGACAGTGCAGTTAGATTAACAGGAATGTAAGCTTTCTGCTCATATAAGACATGTCTATGTCCTGGAAAGTTTGCTGTTACATACAACAGTCATGCTAATCACATTAGCGCATGTAAGCTCAACCGTCCCGTATACGGGACACCGATCCCGTAGAAGTTAAATTACTAGCACACAGCTTGGACACCCATGCATACCCCCACAAAACATGCCACCAGAGGTCTCTTCTCAATCCCCAAGTCCAGAACAGACTATGGGAGGCGTACAGTACTGCATAGAGCCATGACTACATTGAACTTTATTCCACATCAGGTAGCTGATGTAAGCAGTAGATTCAGATTTTTTTTTAAACAGGTAAAAATACACCTTATGGAACAGCAGGGACTGTGAAGAGACACACACAAAGGTACAGACACGCATACGCACACAAGCGCTAGCACACACTCTACACACACATACATTGTAATATTGTTTTATGGTGGTATTATACATTTTGTATTGTAGATATGTAGTGGTGTAATAATGTTATATGATGTAGTGTTTTATCATTTGTTTTATATGTGATGCCTTGGCAGCAGCTAATGTGGATCCCTAATAAATACAAACACAAATACAAACTGTATTTAGGAAAAATTCCAATCTGGTTTTTGTGCCCACCACAGTACAGATACAGTCTTAGCTAAAGTGGTAAATTATCTTAGAGCCAACACAGATGCCAAACAGCTTTCTGTTCTACTCTTGGATTTAAGTGCTGCATTCGATACTGTTGACCATGGTGTCCTTCTGGACAGACTGGAGAGGTGGGTTGGCCTCTCCGGTCCAGTTCTAAATTGGTTTAGGACATATTTGACTGGTCGAGAGTTTTTTGTCACCATTGGTGAACATAACTCAGAGAAAATACATCTCACCTGTGTTGTTCCACAAGGTTCGATTCTGGGTCCAGTACTGTTTAGTCTATATGTTTATATATGCCAGCGTTACCAGAAAGCACAGCATTGATTTTCACTGCTACACATGAAATACACAACTGTACATTTCTGTGTCACCAGAGGAGTTTCACTCCACTGATAAATTATTAGACTGTATCAGTGATTTAAATACTTGGATGGCTCACAACTTCCTTCAGCTAAATCAAGACAAGACCGAGGTACTTATTGTTGGAGCCAAAGCACAGAGAGAGAATCAGGCAATAAAGATAAAACACCAGGTAAAAAACCTAGGTGTTATTTTCGATTCTGAACTAAATTTAGAATCACACATTAGGAATGTGACCAAAATAGCTTTTTACAACCTGAGGAACATTGCCAAGGTGCGGCTGTTTCTCGCTCAGGCTGATACAGAGAGACTCATCCATGCTTTTACTACAAGCAGGCTTGACTACTGTAATGCTCTCCTGTCTGGTCTACCCAAGAAAGCCATTGGTCAACTGCAAAACAAGAACAGACGAAGAGCACACATTACACCGGTTGTGGATTCGATTCCCATGGGGGGCCAGTCAAAAATAAAAATAATGTATGCACTCACTAACTGTAAGTCGCTCTGGAAAAGAGCGTCTGCTAAATGACTAAAATGTACTGGCATTTTAACTATCCCAAAGCCTAGGACCAAGAGGCATGGAGAGGCAGCATTTAGTTATTATGCCCCCAGCCTCTAGAATAGCCGGCCAGAGACCCTTAGGGGGGCCGAAACTGTGTACATATTTCAAAGAGATCTTAAAACACATATTTGTAGCTTTCTTTAGGGTGCTTTTTAGTTTTTGTGATTCTTAAGGTTTTTATCTTGTGTTTGTTGTGTAGTAAATATTTCATTGTTTTTTATCCGTTTTTTTCCTGTGAAGCACATTGTGTTGCATTCCATGTCTGAAATGTGCTGTATAAATAAAGCTTGATTTGATTTTATGTATTATAGGTAACGCATGTTTAGGGGAACACTATATAGACTTTTTGGTGCATCACAAAGATCAGTGTATCTGAAATCAAGAGGTTGTGAGTTCAAATCCCAGTTGGGGTCATATTTTAGCTGAACAGTGATAACACATGGAATTGCATGTGAAGTGTTACAAAAACACATTTTCACTTGAATTTTATTGCTGTTAATTTTGTGGTCAATTTTACAGTCATTATATTGTCAATTTCTACAGTAATAGGATACTGTATTAGTATTTTGCTATTCATTTACTGTCAATCGCAAAGCACTTGGATACTTTTTGGCCTGTCCTGCAAATTACAGTAACTTGGCATGCCTCACTTGCAATTGCATTTAAACTTATAGGATACTTTAAATGCGCTTATGGCACAAACTGATAATTGGACAATTATTTACTTGATTCTGGGCTGCTTTTAGCAAAGTGCAGAAATGCATTGTTGCCAATAAGTCTGTGGCCATATCTCTTTCACAGATCTGGTGGGGTAGCTGCACTGTAGCAGGTTTCAGGCCCCCTGTTTCAGGTTGCTAGGGACCAAGAGGTTGTACGTTCAAATCCGATTTTAAGGCTTAGTCACAGTCAAAGATTTTACAGTAATTTAAATGAGAATACATTTTATAGAAATAACACCTTAAAGTTGTTGTATATATTAACTTTATTTTTAATGCAACTTTAGGCAAAGTGCAGAAATGTATTCTTGCCAATCTTCATTCTGTCCACAGTCCTGGTGGGGCAGAAGGAACTTCAGGTAGCTAGCAATCAAGAGGTTGTGAGTTCAAATCTAAGTGAGGTTGTAATCAACATACTAAGCTTCAACATTAACACCTCACTTTAGCTGTAAAAATACAGTAACTGGTTGTAGATTTACCATATTTTCACCACAACTAGAAAAAACCCTCCAGTGCACCCTGACTCAACGTTTTAAGAATGTCCTAGAAATGTCCTTTGGGACATCCTTGGAACAAACCGGGAACTAGACAAAACTTGCAGGGGACCATGACTATTTAAATTGAATTAACGTCAATTTTGCCTTTGAAAGTAAAATATTCTAAATTACATTTGACACCTGGGTTTTCACATGGTATCACATGTTGAAATTTTGGGTCCCCATGTCTTCACATTTATTTCACGAGAACGTGTTTTCGCATGTGCTCACATGGTGTCACGTCTAGTTTCATGTTATCACATGTTGACATTTTGCTTCACCATGTTGTCACATTTATTTTACATGTGTTCACATATTGTCACGTGTAGTTTTATGTTATCACGTTGCTTCACATGTTGTCACCTGCTATCACATTAACTTCACATTAAATCACATGTTCACAAGTGAAATTCATGTTTTTTTCCTGTAAGGAAATGCTGAACAATGATGGCACAATGTCCCAATTGCTATTTATGTAAAAAACGGAAAGTAAATCATGTTTATGTTTATCATATCAGCTTCCACATGTTGTCAGGAGGTACATCACTTGGATATTACATATATATTTGTAGCCCCCTTCTTTCTCATTTCAGGCTTCATGTGAAGCATTATCCACATACCTGACCTCCACCCTCAACCCATACATCGCTAACGTGACCGCTGCCACCAAACTCTGTAGTGATGTCCTTTGCCAGGGCAATGGCCGCTGTGTCAGAAAGGACTACAACTCCAATGACTACCTGCACCTGAACCTGGACAACTTCCGCCTCCTAAAGTCCCAGGGGAAGTACGTGGCCATCGGAATACCCTCCTCCGCTGACCTCCTCACTTTAGCAGACAAGTTCACCTGCCAGTGCTACACAGGCAGTAGCTGTTCACCCCACTTATCACATCCCATGAACCCTATGGTTATTCAAGTATAGCCTCCCTGGGGTTTCACTCTCAGAAAATCGGACTAATTAAAAAACATACACTTTGTTGCGTTCACAGTAAGGGTATGTGTATATGATTGAAGCCATTAATCAAGTTTCTCATTTTTAGATTAACAGTATTTGGAGGGGAATCCTGCACTATAGGTCTGGATCATTAAAGTAAAAAATTACATATTTGTGTCAAAATAAAATTGTGAGTATTATTTGGTATCCTTTGGAAAGTATGCAGAGCCTGTAACCTTTAACCCAATAACCCCAACGTTTTTAAGGGCTTTGAGTAATGGTACTGGGATGATTACATTGAAGAAATAGTGTGTTTTAACATATTTAGTTAAGATATTATAAAATTACTGGCTAAGTATCTACAATTACTCAGCAGTGAATTTCCAACTTGAGCTGACCAAGCATATAGAGGGAAAGATACTAGGGACAAATCATTCCTTCCCACTGCACATAAACAGGTTGAATCAACGTTGATTCCATGTAATTTCAACCAAAACAGTCAATGTGATGACGTTGAATCAACGTGGAAAACTGATTGGATTCGTTAAAAGTCATCAACGCAAGGGAATTTCATATTTTTTTCAACCAACTTTTAACATAAGTCTAATGACATGGTGAAATGTTTTGTTGATTTCACATTGAATTCACGTTAGTTGATAAATAGAAAATTATACCAAATAGGGCTATCTTCTGTATACCTTGTCAGAACACAACTGATTGGCTCAAACGTATTAAGAAAGACATAAACTCCACAAATTAACTTTTAACAAGGCACACCTGTTAATTGAAATGCATTCCAGGTGAGAACCTCATGAAGCTGGTTCAGAGAATGCCAAGAGTGTGCAAAGCTGTCATCAAGGCAAAGGGTGGCTATATGAAGAATCTCAAATCTTAACTATATTTTGATATGTTTAACACTTTTTTGGTTACTACATGATTCCATGTGTGTTACTTCATAGTTCTGATGTCTTCACTATTATTCTACAAATAAAGAAAAACCCTTGAATGAGTAGGTGTGTCCAAACTTTTGACTGGTAGTGTATATATACAGTTGAAGTCAGAAGTTTATATACACATAGGTTGGAGTCATTATAACTTGTTTTTCAACCACTCCATCAATTTCTTTTTAACAAACTATAGTTTTGGCAAATCGTTTAGGACATCTACATTGTGCATGACACAAGTGATTTTTCCAACAATTGTTTACAGACAGATTATTTCACTTATACAGTGGGGAGAACAAGTATTTCATACACTGCCGATTTTGCATCTTTTCCTACTTAAGATTGTACTTTTTGGAGAAATGTCCTCTGGTCTGATGAAACAAAAATAGAACTGTTTGGCCATAATGACCATCATTATGTTTGGAGGAAAAAGGGGGTTGCTTGCAAGCCGAAGAACACCATCCCAACCGTGAAGCACGGGGGTGGCAGCATCATGCTGTGGGGGTGCTTTGCTGCAGGAGGGACTGGTGCACTTCACAAAATAGATGGCATCATGAGGAAATAAAATTATGTGGATATATTGAAGCAACATCTCAAGACATCAGTCAGCAAGTTAAAGCTTGGTCGCAAATGGGTCTCCAAGCATACTTCCAAAGTTGTGGCAAAATGGCTTAAGGACAACAAAGTCAAGGTATTGGAGTGGCCATCACGAAGCCCTGACCTCAATCCTATAGTAAATTTGTGGGCAGAACTGAAAAGGCGTGTGTGAGCAAGGAGGCCTACAAACCTGACTCAGTTACACCAGCTCTATCAGGAGGAATGGGCCAAAATTCACCCAACTTATTGTGGGAAGCTTGTGGAAGGCTACCCGAAACATTGGACCCAAGTTAAACAATTTAAAGGCAATTTTACCAAATACTAATTGAGTGTATGTAAACTTCTTACCCACTGGGAATGTGATGAAATAAATAAAAGCTGAAATAAATCTCTACTATTATTCTGACATTTCACATTCTTAAAATAAAGTGGTGATCCTAACTGACCTAAGACAGGGAATTTTTACTAGGATTAAATGTCAGGAACTGTGAAAAACTGAGTAGAAATGTATTTGGCTAAGGTGTATGTAAACTTCCGACTTCAACTGTATATATATATATATATATATATATATATATATATATATATATATATATATATATATATATGTGTGTGTGTGTGTGTGTGTGTGTGTGTGTATTCCGGAGGCATTGCTCATCCTGATATTTCTATATTTCTTAATTCCATTCTCAATTTTTTTTATTTGTTTGTTTTGTTGTGTATTGTTAGATATTACTGCACTGTTGGAGTTAGGAAGACAAGTATTTTGCTTCACACGCAATAACATCTGCTAAATATGTGTACGTGACCAGTACAATTTGATTTGATTTGAAACACATGCATACAAACAAACATTTACTCAAAATGTCAAAAGTTATTCTCTAGGCATAAAATGCTGAATGTATTTAGGAATATCATTCGATTCAAGAAAAGCTATGCTATATTGTTTCATTTCCTGCTACAAAAGGAATAAGCTACTAGCAAACATTGTGACAACCAACTCTATACTGTGTGACATCCAACCTAGCGATGGGGCTGGTTGTCACAAGTGGACAGCGTGGCTTACAACTCCATGTTGGAAAAAGATATGAGAATAAAACGGTCCCCATGTCAACCCAAGACCTTGGTCGTTCTCTTATAAAGCATTAGGAACACCTGCTCTTTCCATTACATAGACTGACAAATTGAATCCAGGTGAAAGCTATGATCCCTTATTGATGTCATGTGTAAAATCCACTTAAATCAGTGTAGATGAAGGGGAGGAGACCGGTTAAAGAAGGATTTTTAAGCCTTGAGACAATTGAGACATGGATTGTGTATGTGTGCCATTCAGAGGGTGAATGGGCAAAGCAAAATATTTAAGTGCCTTTGACCAGTGTATGGTAGTAGGTGGCAGGCGCACCTACTAGAACTGGAACGCTGCTGGGTTAAACATTTTCAACAGTTTCCCATGTGTATCAAGAATGGGCCACCACCCAAAGGACATCAAGCCAACTTGACGCAAATGTGGGAAAAATTGGAGTCAGCTTGGGCCAGCATCCCTGTGGAACGCTTTTCACACCTTGTAGTGTCCATGCCACGACGAATTGAGGCTGTTCTGAGGGCAAAAGTGGGTGCAACTCAATATTAGGAAGGTGTTCCTAATGTTTTGTACACTCAGTGTATACTGTTGCTGAGAAATACACAAGAGAGTAGAAAGTGTGACAACCAACCCTGGTCTCCCTTACCATAATGGACATTCATATTATTCTTAATTCTAATGTGGAGGGAATTGAAGTTTAGGCAGTTGAGCAATCACAGTTACAGCATTTTTCAAATTTTTCGTATTGCCTCTATTTTTACAATTTGTGCTGTGTTTTGTTGTATATTTCATTCCATTCAAGATGTTCCCTCACAGGAAAATGCAAGTTATTTAAATTGAATTGAACACTGCTGATCAATGATGTGAGTTATGTTTGTATTTGCCAAAATGGCATCAAACAAAAACAATACTTCTGCTTTGAAAAGAAAACCTAACCACAGCCTGGCAAGTAGATAGTATAGAACACATTTACCTATGTTGTATCTTGGTTGAATGTGCTTGCTATTGATACTGCTCAAACATATTACCGTATTTTCCGCACTATAAGGCGCACCGGATTATAAGGCGCACCTTCAATGAATGGCCTATTTTAGAACTGTTTTCATATATAGGGCGCACCGGATTATAAGGCGCATAGAATAGAAGATACTGCAGTCAAACGTTTGACTGGGGTTGCGTTATGCATCCACTAGATGGAGCTGTGCTAAAGGGAATGTCAACAAAACAGTCAGATAAAGTTAAACTTTATTAAGCATTCTGACAACGATTTTGGGGTCTTTATACACACACAAGTGGTGTGGGACTGTGAGTAAGCACAGTACCGGTGTTTACTGACTACGGTAGCCGTAATGCTGCAAGCGGTGCGGCTTTGTAGTTTACCAGTCGTACTGAAACATTTCATCATTATCAAATAGTTTTTATTGGTTTTTCATACTGAAACATTTTGACAGAGCGCCTTGAGCGCCGTGTACAACCAGTATGGATCAACCAATTAACCAATTGATCCATATATAAGGTGCTCCGGATTATAAGGCGCACTGTCGTTTTTTGAGAAAATTAAAGGCTTTTAAGTGCGCCTTATAGTGCGGAAAATACGGTTCTCGCAATAACTGATTGATTTTGCTCTGTTTTCTCATTTTCAAGGAACAAGGCACAGAGTCTCCTTTCGTGGACGGCAATGTTTTTTTCTCATGACTCAACTGGGCGCTACCCAAAACAGACCCACCCATAGATCCTGACTACCCCTTCCTCTTCATGTGAAACTCTCCCACAGAACTCTGCAAGACCAGATTTGGCATGGGTCTCGACCTCTCCCACTTTCAGTTAGTAGTGAGCAGCACTTTGAAGTCTGCCAACCAAAGCATCTCCATTTTCTACACCGACTGTTTCAGCCTCTTCCTTTATGTGGACGAGGACACAGGAGAAATGTACGTTGAAGGCGTTCAAAAGCGCATATCAGACCGAGAGCCTAATGCTTAATTCTTAGGTACCGTATTTTCCGCACTATAAGGCGCACCGGATTATAAGGCGCACCTTCAATGAATGGCCTATTTTAGAACTGCTTTCATATATAGGGCGCACCGGATTATAAGGCCCATAGAATAGAAGATACTGCAGTCAAACGTTTGACTGGGGTTGCGTTATGCATCCACTAGATGGAGCTGTGCTAAAGGGAATGTCAACAAAACAGTCAGATAAAGTCAAACTTTATTAAGCATTCTGACAACGATTTTGGGGTCTTTATACACACACAAGTGGTGTGGGACTGTGAGTAAGCACAGTACCGGTGTTTACTGACTACGGTAGCCGTAATGCTGCAAGCTGTGCGGCTTTGTAGTTTACCAGTCGTACTGAAACATTTCATTATTATTAAATTGTTTTTATTGGTTTTTCATACTGAAACATTTTGACAGAGCGCCTTGAGCGCCGTGTACAACCAGTATGGATCAACCAATTAACCAATTGATCCATATATAAGGTGCTCCGGATTATAAGGCGCACTGTCGTTTTTTGAGAAAATTAAAGGCTTTTAAGTGCGCCTTATAGTGCGGAAAATACGGTAGTTCTTTATGAGTTTTAGTTTAGAAAACGATCTCGCCGCAGAAGTGAAAGTTAAAGGGATGGCTAAAAACAGCTTGATTGCCATAACAACATCCATGAAACTGGGCAGAAGGGAGAGGTGATTCAAATACAGCAGTTCTGCAGCATCTTTAATTGAGCCTCTCGCATTCTCCTTAACTGCCAGCTTCAACATGTTACTGAAAGTGATTCACTTTATAGGACAGGTCGTCTGGATACTGGACAGATTATCATCTTTAGTGGACAACAGTTCTTGACGGCTCAAACTAAAAAACTGTTTGCGATTTTCTTCATACTGCTGAACCGGTGTTTGAGTTGTGTGGTTGCAATATCAACAAGCCCTTATCTAATCTCTGGTACTGTATATCTTGGCATTCATCATTCAAGACTAAGGTTAAATTGTGTGCAGCGCAATGGGCATATAATG